GGGCATAGCAAATTTATCTAGGTTTTTATGAATGAAAGATGTTTAGTTCGCAACTACCTTCTAGAAGTTCAATGTAAAATTATGTTTAGTGAAAAGTGTTTTGCGTCTGTAACATTGATATGAGCCTCCTCTGGTCAAATTATTAATTAACACAAAAGAAACAGTTCTTTTATCAAATCAACGCTAAATAAAAAAATACTGCTAACCTGTTATTGGTTATAATAACTAGAATTTCCAGAGCAAGTGTATATTGTCAATTAACAAAGCCAAACTTAAAGGGTTCCGTTAACCGTACAAAAATCACGTGAATTTAAATCACAAGCCATGCATTTTCATTTGATGTCTGTTTAACTCTTGTTTGTTTTTTTTGTTTGTTGGTTGTTGTTGTTTTTTAATGTCAATGAAATTGAGTATAAATAGACAAAAATAAGAATTAGAATTATCGTTCAACTGACTTTTCCTTCTGATATTTTTTCAGCAAATGTTCCTGAAGACTGTGAAAAGGAACTTGGTAAGCAGTTCTGTATTTTCAATGCATTTAAAGACATTATTCCCATTGATAATTTCTTTTCATGAATTCTGCTAAGACGATTGACAAAATACATAAATATAGAACATTTATGTTTTTAGACACTATGAATTTAATTTACAGCTTCATAGCTTCATTGTTCTTTGGAGAGGCCTTCTGAATTAAAAAATGTCAATATTATAAAGTTTGATAATAAAGTAATAAAGATTGCTAAACATAGGTAAATTGAATGATATGGATAAGATACCTTGATGCAACATTTAAAACTTTTTTTAAATTCAGGTCAGTGTACTAAGTTTATTTATGACGTTACTCGTTTACGTGCCTTGAAAAGTTCTGGATGTACAAAGTTTTGCCAGTGTGAGCATGCATCCACTGAGACGGACGGCTCTGTGACGTATAAGTGGGCCGAACATACGTGTGCACCTGGACTTTTGTTCGATGAGGAAATTAAAGTCTGTAATTGGCCAGGCAATGTGCAATGCAACGGTATATTTCTGTTTTGTATAGATTTTTGCTTAACAATGGGAATGGAATTTCAAAACTTAATTGTATAATTATCACGTCTCCAACATATCCAGGAATTATCACACAATAAAACACTATTCACATAAATATTTGGTTCACCTTTCTCGTGTCAAACAAGAATATATACAGAAAAAACAATCTCAACGTGTTCATTGACGTCAGTATAGATGATAACCGGTGAAATTCTTGACATGTTTCGCCCTCACTTCGTGTAAATTTCTGTAAATTTATTGTAAGCGACTGTATGAATTATCGAATCAATTGTATAGATGCTGCACAATAAAGAATATGCATGCTACTAAGATTCATCGTCCTTGTTTTATTTTTCAGCAAATGATGTTGACGACTGCGAAAAAGAACATGGTAATACTATTTGTAATCAAAATGTAATGATGATAATATTTTTATTAAATAAAACATTTGTATGAAATATGAGTGTTTTTAAAATAACCTTCACATAAATGAAAATAATTTAACATATACAACTAAAGAAATTGATTATCTGATTATTGCTAAAAAAACGAAATAGAACTCTGTAATAAAATACAGTTGTTAGAACAAAGTTAAAATTCTGTTTCCAGGCGAATGTACAGCATTTGTTTATGAAGATGTCCGATTACGTCCATTAAAAAGTTCCGGGTGTACAAAATTTTGCCAGTGTGAGCATGCATCCACTGAAGCGGATGGTTCTGTGACGTATAAATGGGCGGAGCACACGTGTCCACCTGGACTTTTGTTTGATGTTGAAACGTTAGTTTGCAACTGGCCTCAAAATGTTCAGTGTGACGGTACATTGCTTAATTTTCATTACAATATTATGCATTCAATGTATCTTCATGTAATAAGTTATTCAATACATCTCCGCACACGTTAAAGCAGCACGCCTCCAGATTCATGTTAATTTTCATGAACATTTTGAAAATGTGTTTAAAAGTGTTAATTAGTGAAATAACCAAAAGGAAGCAGTTTACACATTATCAATGGCACTTACAACCCACGTAAAATACTAAAAAGTGGACAAAATATGCAAAAATATCCCTTACCGCGTTTGTAACGCAGTAGAAATATAGTCATAAATATTGAAAAATCAGTCATTAATCGCACATAACGAGTACATTATTACTTGAATCTTGGATGTTTTTACTTTTCCTAAAATCTTAGTACATTTTTCTAAAGTTTGATTTTATTGAATCGATCGATTTCGATCATCTGGAGGCATGCAGCTTTAACAAACTTAAAGTTTGCTTAATTTTATCAAATAGATCCTTTAAGTGGTATAAAAGTAGTATCGTTAATCTTTATAATATGTGTATTTCAGTTCACTTATTATCAAAGTTTTCTTAAACTGGTATGTTATGTCATGGGAGGGGATGTTAAACAAACTGGCATTAAAGATGCTTTGGCAAAATGAAGTTAGTAAAGATCATTTACATCTATGTGTTTCATTTCAAAGAAAATACAATTCTTTTAAGAACAAATAAAGGATTCATGTCTGCTTTTACAGGAAATGGCGATAATGGTGATACCGATAATGGTGATACCGATAATGGTGGTACCGATAATGGCGGAACCGATAATGGTGGAACCGATAATGGTGGTACTGATAATGGTGGTACGGATAATGGCGGAACCGATAATGGTGGAACCGATAATGGAGGTACTGATAATGGTGGTACCGATAATGGTGAAACCGATAATGGCGGGACAGATAATGGTGGTACAGATAATGGTGGTACTGATAATGGTGGTACTGATAATGGTGGTTCTGATAATGGCGGAACCGATAATGGTGGAACCGATAATGGTGGTACCGATAATGGCGGATCTAATGGTGACAATGGCAACAATGGCGATGGCGGTAACGGCGGCAATAATGGTGATACTGGTACTTGTCTTTTTAATAATAGCAGAATTAACTGCAAAGAATATTGATGTATATTGTATTAAAAAGATTTCAAAAACTTAGGGCTAACAGATCTAAAAGGTTTAGGAGATTTGTAGTACCAAATAGTAAACGATAATGATCATTTATCAACTAGTTCTGAATACCTCTATCTTTACACGATATCAGATGTTAATGTACCTTGTACATATTGAAATTGTGTAAGAAATGACAGAAAATTACTAAGACATTTCATTTGATGACGAATATTATATATTGTTCATTACAGATTTTGAATGTTTCAAATGCTATAAAAGTGACTCCAATAAAGAGTGTAACAAAAACAAGGAATTTTGTGAATCGGATAAAGAGGTATGAAATGATTTGCAAAATTGTTAATGTTGTTAATACAAAATTTAAATAAACCAAATAAACATGCTACATACATGTCGGAGGGATTTATAATAAAAGTTGAACAGTTTTTATCAGCCAACATATAGTTAATGGACCACAGCCAGAGGGTGAAGTCTGCACAATGTTTGAAGCTTACTGGGAGGTCACCTGAGGCTATAATGTTTTGAAGTTCGTACCGTATTTTACAAGAAAAGTGGAAAAAAGTTCTACATGGGAATATGAAACTTGTACCATAACTCCATATTTTTTTTCTAAAAGTAAAGAATACTGGTAATGTTTTTTATCCGCTATCGCTATCAAGGGCATGCATCTGGACGGCTTCATATTATCTCTGTATATTTTAGGTTTTTGAAAATACAAAAACATAAAATTCGAACAGTTTTTATTTCAATTTCACCGATATCTTGAGCTTGCACCAGAAAGATGATTAAAATTGTTCCAGAATGCATTTATAATAATTCATAACAAGTTATTCTACTAGCAGCATATAACAAAAATTATCAAGGGGTATTCCATTTTGATTCTAAGGTAATTCGTTATGTATAGAGTTTTCATCATAACATATAAAATATTTTCGGTGTATTAAACCTGAAAACGTTAATGATATGTCTCAAATATTATTTTGCAGACATGTCAAACACGTATAGAATGGAAAGGTGACACATATGAAGTATCAAAAGGCTGTGTAAATAGCGATAGTAGCAGCTCAGAGGATGACTCAGGAACAAGCTCAAAAGAAACTTCGTCAAAAAATTCAAGCGATGAATCGTCTGACGATTCAAAAGAGAAATCGTCAAAGAGTTCAAAGGAGGGTTCATCGAAGAGTTCAAAGGAGGGGTCATCGAAGAGTTCAAAGGAGGGTTCATCGAAGAGTTCAAAGGAGGGGTCATCGAAGAGTTTAAAGGAGGGGTCATCGAAGAGTTCAAAGGAGGGGTCATCGAAGAGTTCAAAGGAGGGGTCATCCAAGAGTTCAAAGGAAAAGTCATCGAAGAGTTCGAAGGAAAAGTCATCCAAAAGTTCAAAGGAAGACTCATCAAAGAGTTCAAAAGAAAAATCAACGAAGAGCTCAAAAGAGAAATCTTCGAAAAGTTCCAAGGAGAGGTCAAGACGAAGCAACAGTGACCTCTCAGGATGCAAGAAGAATGGGAAGAAGACCACGTGTAAATATGAATGCACAAGTAGTTTGTGCAATGAATTCCTCCCACCATTGTACATTGAGTAACCAGAAAAAAGCACATATCAGTCTGTCAAAATACAATGTTATTTTAAAAACCAAGCTGCAATGTAGTTTTAAAGTTAACAATATTTGTCTTCTTGTTTTTTTATCTTTTCTTTGGAATATTGTATCTCCTTACTTTTATACTAAAACTGTTGATTACATCTCATTTACTTCAAATAACTTGTATTACACATAATCAGCTATGAGAAAAGTGAACTTAAGTACAATTCAAAAATAAATTATCTTTAGGAAATCTGTAAAAATTCATAAAGATTAAGAAATATTTGTACGTATATACTTTATTTTAATAAGATTTCATACAGTCATAAAAGACCTTATACTTTTCTGATATTCGTTTTCAATGACATGATAATTTAAATTGTGATGAAAATTTGATAGTGGTTATTTCAGTCCAACCAAAGGACGTAGTGTATTCAGGGTGGCGAATCAAAGAGACTTCACATATAAAATTTAGTAAAACACAAGGAAATTATTCTGTATGCAGAGAATGCTTTTTTATTTGACGAAAATCCATTTTTAAGTAAAACATATTTTCGTAACATACATTCACTAATCGGAGCTTATATTAGAATTAATTTTCCGCAGTGTATTTTATCAAAGTGCGCAAAAGTACCACCTTGATATATGCTGTAAACTTTTACTGTTTAATGTTATATTAAGATGCGCTTCAGTTAAAAGAAAATAATACAATCAAAGAGCCACATTTCGTTTATTTCGATTTCGAACTAAATGTGTCCGAACCTTTGATTCAACGACACATTTTCTATCATCCTAAATGTTGATGAAAACATTAGAAAAGAAATTTTAATAATTTTTGTTCATTTTAAATTAAAACAGTGTGCTTTTCAATCAAGCAATCAATCTCCATTAAATAATCGGCATAAATATGCCTTTGCCATTTACAATAATAAAGTATATTTTAAAAAGTATGATCATCACAAAATAAAGTACATACGATCATAATTTAACAAGATAAAGTTTCTAAATAGCCGGTAATTGTAGAGCAAAATGAACAATTGTGTAGAAATGACATGATACTGTATACATTTCTTTTTTTCCATGTTATGATTATTAAAATAAAAATGTGTGTGTATTTTATAAACAAATGTCTTGTTTCCTTGTTTCATCATAATTATCTAATTTGCATTTTTCTTAAAAAAATCATTTTTGGGGAACAAAGAAAGATTATAATTATGTTTTCCATCTTTCAAACTTAAATGATCTAAAAGTAAGATAAAATAAAAACGATGTTCAAATAATTTTTTTAAAATATTTGAAATAACTCTACACTACACTTCACTATCTGTGTTGCTTTTATCTAAATCAAAGACTTTCAAACCCTACATTTATTAAATGTTACGGAATAAATCAGAAGGCAGTAATGTATTAACATTATGGCCACTTGACTTTTGATTTGTTACAAATATCAACTTAAATAAAAAAGTTTTTATTAGACAAGAACATACTCCTAAATATTTACAAAGTCTTTATTGGCCTTTTTAACTTCCAGTCTTTATAGCAAAGAGCTTATATATAGATTTCCTTTTGTTTATTTAGTTAAAGAACTTTATCTTTAAGTTAAATAGAAAACTGTGATTAAGAAACGAAGTTTGCAATTTTTAAAGAAAAATATCATGGTACCTTTACACTCTTAGTGAATATTTTTGCTAAGTAAATATATTTAATTTATTAGATTAATTAAGTTCTAATTTATTGTTTACCAGCATTTATATATCAATTGGATTAATAGAGAATCTTATCTCATTTGGTTAGAAAGATAATAGTGTCATCTTAACCTGATGATGAATAGTTCAGCTGGAAACGAGCAATTAATTTCGACTCTTTAGACTCTATTTGACCTGGTTTTGATTGCAAAATGTTCAGCCTTAATAAAAATTTTTTTTTAACAGATGAGTATCATGTATGTGTAGGAACACCAATAAAGAGTATTAGCCCGTGGAGTGTTAGATAAGCCCATGTGTGATAACATTTTTCAGCACCGCTTTTTTTAAGAATATTTATGGATTTTCTATCCGGTTAGTGAGAATCACCATCGTTAAATCACCCATTTGTTATACATACACTGATGAGTCTTCATCCTTCGGTCGGGAGGCCATTAAACATAGCACTACGCTATCAAGTGCAAACCAGGACATGTCATCTTCAGGTCATGAAAGAGTTGCTTTGAAAATTAAAAGGTACAAATCTGTCTCTAAGTAGTATCAGTTTTTTTAATTCGGTTTACTTCTAATAATGCTCTGTTTTAGCTTAAGACTCTCAACACCCTCGTCGAACGTTTATCTACGTAGAACCATTCCTCTTAGCATTACCAAAGTGAATAAAAGCTTCCTCTTGTTTTTGCTTTTCAAGTTTCAAAAATATTCTGAATGTACCATCTGCATCAACCATTGAGAAAAGAGAGGATCTTATAATATATTATGCCCCATCAAAATGGGATATGATACATTTGGCTTGTCTGTCCGATCTGCTTTCACACTGTCCCTCTGTCGTACTGTCACGTTGTTCCTCCGTACAGACAACTGTGATGGGTGGGGCTGTTATACTAGTGTTATCATTTTTAATGTCCTATGTACCTGTTATAAGGTTATCATTAATACCTTACCGTTTTTCATAGGCTGATTACAAAGGTCTTATTTTCAGAAAATACATACGAGAATTACATAGCGAGTAAACAATACAAATAGGGGAACAGTTCTGTTATACTTGCATGACTACCCTCTTAAATCTTAAAACTGCCATTAAGCATACATTAATGTAATACACGCTTACATCTGCCCTTCCACTTTTTTGTTTTCACTTAAAGCATTTCTGTAATCAGTGAAATGTATTGATATTTCAAAGCTTCAGTATACAAAAAAAACTACTTTTTCTCTCTTTTTCTCTTAAATAAGATAACTGTGTTAAGTTACATAAAGAAGGGCTCAGTGGTTGTCTCCCTTAGGATATCATCAGTTTGACAATAAGATTAATTGTGTTCTACGGAAGATGTACGTATATAGTAGACAATTATTTGTGTTCTATGGAAGATATACGTATATAGTAGACAATTATTTGTGTTCTACGGAAGATATACGTATATAGTAGACAATTATTTGTGTTATACGGAAGAAATTCGTATTTAGAAGGAGAAAAAAATGACAAATGACAAAATGAAAAAAGAAAACAAAGCAAAACAAAAATGTTGAGCATAAATGCACTAGTGAGTATCGTTCCAAATGTAATGACAGATTATCAAAAAGCTATACGGTTAGAACTAGATAAGTTCACATTACAAGTATATGTTGTTTCTACTAATAGACGATAATAGACGATATTATTATTTGTATTGGAATTTCATTTTATATGACTGTAAGTTTTTACAGCTGTGCGTCAAAAGTGCGTGGGTTTTTTTGTCAGTTAGTTATAAAAAAAATAAAACAATTCACAGTGTATCATTTAAATCATCTTTTTTCAATGAGTGAGTTTTTGATCGGTATTAAAATATATTCAGGTTTTCATAGGTGCCTCTAAAAAACGCCTTCGTCTGTGCATAGAATGTGCGCAAAGGGATCTTGCAAACTAGTCGATATTTACTAAATTATTAAAAGTTTAGGACATTTAAAGCAGATTTACTTACGAACAAGCGTTTTATGTAGTGAATGCTCACTTATAAACACAAACCAATTCAGTGTTATTTTGTATAAAACTGACGATTTACTCGAATGATTAAATTTAGCCGAATTACTAAAATAAATGTGTTATGATTCATTTTAAATACTGTAATTCTATTGGACAAACATAATTTCAAACAGTAAATAGGCTTGGTTTCCAAAAGAAATGCAGTATTGCACATGAATCAAACCACATTTACTTTGTTAAATCGACTAAATTTGATAAGTTTATTTAATCGACAGTTTTATAAGAATAATTTCAAATACTAAATTAGTTAGTGTTTATTGATATGCATTTACTAAATCAAGTTGGTTGAAATCAACTTAATTTTATAAAAGCTTACTAATAAACAATTACCTTTTCTTATTTTATATAAACCAATCCATTCAAATTTAAACTATAATAATCTTTTTTCCTTGACTACAAATCATTTAAGGAGTGACATTTTAAGGGATGATAGATATCTTACAGGGAAATTGAACTTTAAATTTTATATTCATTTAGTGTTTGAAATTTTTTTGTCCAATAAGATTGCAGTATTTCAAATGAATCGTAATGCATTAATTTTGGTAAATCAGCAAATGTTAATCAGTCTTGTAAATCGACTGTTAATACAAATAATTTAAAACACTAAGCCGGTTAAAATTTATTAGTACGTATTTACAAAATTAAATTGGTCGCGCGACTGCGCCGCGCCTGATTAATTTAATTTTGTAAACACGTACTATTAAACTTTAACATATACTTGAAGAGAAATTTATCGTTTATATATCCCCATTCGTTTTCTTTCGTTTACTTCTTCTCTTGTCTATTACTACCTGGCATTCTTTTCTTTACTTTTTTTTCTCAATCTTATTTTTTGTTATAACATGTTATGTGAAATGCAATTTTTATACTTATTATTGCACTTTATACTCACGTATTTGTGAACAGGTTAGTGTTAATAAAGGTATGTTCTGTTCTGTTCAGTAACAGCTTGTTTTATATATTTTGTCAATTTATTCCCAATAAGAGAATAGAGTATTTTTGCATATCTTTATGAATAACATCACATCTATGAAATGAATGTTTAAAATGTTTTAGGTTTTAAAGATTGTTAACAGGATGTTGTGATAACAAATCCTACGTGTTTAGTTTTAACATTTTTGCGTTGACTACACTATCTACTACAAAGGGGAAAAAATAAACTAAAGTCGGATTACGCAATATGATAAAGTAACAAAGAAGGTGCGTATCATTTAAAAGGCGGATGAATTATTCAAACTTATTATTCACGCCTTTACTGTTATAGTATACTTAATTATATTTAAGTAAAAATAACACACATATTTAGGATAATTTGACTGGAGGAGAACCTTTACTTTAGTTTGGAAAATAATGAATTTATTTCTTTCACTTTTAATTTTAGCTGTTTCTTGCATTTACTCATTTCCAAGTAAGTCTTCATTTCATTTTGAAATATGTGCTTTTTACAATGGATTAACAGTTTACAATTTTGTTTATAAATAGTTTGCATTTATTATAATATTAGTATTTATTAATGCGAAATATGAATGTACAATTCGGAATGAAATTAATGTATAACGTTTTACTGTCAAAAACGACATCCAACTTTCTCTTGATTAACAGATGGGTGTAAACTTTAAATAAATTATCATAAATCACTATAATGTATATGTTATTGAGTACATATAGTAGTAAAAGTGTATACAGCTCATATCTGGATTAACTTTATACATGTTAAAAGTGCATGTCTACAGATGATTTAAAATATTTCAAGAAAATAAAACTTGAGAAAAAATGTATTTTAAGAATAGTGAAACAGATACAAGTAAACGTTTACATGCTATGTGCAAAAAATGACTGCTTTTACAGTATCTAACACAAAATTTCAACTGCGTCAATACTTTCTTTGTCCGCTTATAAAATCCATTTTTGATCTTTAAATATATTTCAAAATATTCGTGAAAATTAACTGGTATGGTGCTTTAAAGACTTTTTCAGGAGTTCTCATATAGATATGTAGGCAAAATTAAAACTGTTCAATAGAATTTCTTTAAACGTGGTATGTTCTTAGAATATGATAACAGAAATATTTAAGCGAGTTTTTTTTTTTTTTTTTTTTTTTTTTGGGGGGGGGGGGTCGCAGTTCTAGTTTTTGAGTTATCTGTCTCTTTGATACATATAAGCTAAATTGATAAAACAATCTACAACTATCTTGTATACAGCCGGATGTCCAGATAACGAATGGCAATGTACAGATGGAACTTGTATAGCAAAAACTTCTAGATGTGACAATTTTCCTGACTGTAATGATGGATCTGATGAATTGAAATGCACAGGTACCGTCTTTATTAGTATAAAATGCTGATTTATTTTTCTTTACGGAGTAAAAGTACTTTGTAAAAATATGCCACTACAGTTATACGAAAAGTGTATCTATTTTATAAAAATGATTATATTAAAAAAGATCAATACATTATGTATTTCACAAAATTAATCATGGTCATATATTTACCTTTAAAAAGCATATAATTGTACGATTCTCGTCATTTGTCTTTTTTTCCCTTTTTCTTTACTTTTTTATTTTTTGTATATATATATATGTTTTTTGGAAATTTAGATGAGTGATAAGTCGTTAAGTTATGTAACAATCTAATTTGATCAAGAATCTTTTTTTGAAAATTATTTCTGCAAGTCTCTAATTTTTTTACAATTATTAAATATATCAAACTTGTTTTGAACCAAGCTATTAAGTTAGAATGAACAAAATTTTTATTCTAAAATCATTAAACAAAACATATTTCTCATGGAAAAAACTTGTTTACATGTTACATTTTTATCAATTTTCTCCAAAGTTATCATTCTTAACTTTTAATTACCTTGTAGATCCTGTAGATATATAGAAATACACACATGTCTTTGGACCTCACCAAAATGATGTCAAAATCTTTTAATTTGTATACTGTTACACTACAAATTATTACCTGGTCTTGTATCATTGTTTGGAGACCTTTCTGTTGAAAATGTGTCAGAGTTAAATCGCATACATATACATGCACAGTGCAGGGTTAACTGAAGTGCAGGTCTTAGTTACCCGCACTCCAGGGCATGCCTATTGATTGGCTCATTTTGCTGGGGTTTACTTATTGTGACAACCGACAGAAATATCATTTTTATATGCTCGTTGATTGGTTTCTTTTTTCTTTTTTTGGAGTTTCATAATGTGACAACAGGGAACGTGTTATTTATTTATATCTTAATTAGGGAAGTATGCTTTACTGTAGTTTTACTATAACTTCACACTCACTGTCGATACAATCGGTTTCATATATGAGATAAGTGTAAAATAAATACAGTATTTGTAATGAAGTCTGTTTTGTTTGAATAGTTTCACCAGTCTGTTTAGAGGGACTCGAGTCTTGTCCGCAGCCAAATGGAACCACTGTATGTGTGAAGAAAGCAGTTGGTTGTGGTAAGTATGGTTTGTCTGACATTAAAATTAGTATTAAAACAAAACAAATCTTAGTACTGAAAACGATAATTTTCATACAAAGATATTGCACACTCATTTTGAAATATACGTGTATTTCATTTAAATATGTGTATTTGAAACCAATAATATATCAGTTTTATCAGAATTGGAAGGTTCGAAACATATTGTAAAAAGGATTTCAATTTGATTAGAACATTCTTCCTTATCTAAATGTTATAGGTTTGATATTTCCACAGTTTATCCTCCAGTTAAATTATCCCTGTATAAGTATAATTTACCAAATATGAATAAACAGGGTGTGGAAAAGTACCGGATATTGATCATGGCAATGTTATATCCACTAGTGATCTGATCGGGTCGTCGGCAAACGTGACATGTGATGCCGGGTATCTGCCGTCTATCTCAATAATAATATGTCAAGTAACAGGACTATGGGAAACCGCTAGCTGTTTACCAAAAGGTAAAGGTTATACTGTTTACTTGTTTATGTTTCTAACATCATTTTATCAGTAAGTTAACAGGCGAAATGTAAGTCCCGGTATGACGAAAATATCTGTTTTGAATCAAATAATTTCTGTTAATTCATCGTAGACGTGACAGCAAAGGTTGTTATACAGATAAACAAATGGTCGTAATTTATTTACATAATTGAATTGCTAAGATAACATGGCCTGGATCTCGACTAAATGTACTTTCAGAGACTATTCTGTCATAAATAAAAGGTTCATCTATTTAAAAACAAAAAGTGCTGGAAAAAAACGAATAAGATATTTTTGTTGGTAGTTGATTTTTAAATGTTTGCTGCAATCGCTTTGCTTGATCTAAAATATCTATTTCTGTTTTAAATAATACTGTTTCAGAAATTTTATGAAATGTTGCTGAAAAGATCTTTTAGAGTATCTTGCAGTTTTACCCAAACGAACTGCCTGTTTGGGGTCCTGCTGGGCTCCTTGCCGGTGGTCCTGTGTTGCTGGGTTATGTGTGGGTTGCTTTCATTGAACGACGCCCTTCCTTGTTGATCTTGTTTTTCATATTTCACGTGGCATACACATTACAATGTTTATAGATTGTGGGGCAATAAGCAAGATACCCAATGGAGTAATACGACTTGTAGATAACAACACAACATTCGGAGCGTCTGGTTTTATTACATGCAACTTTGGCTACCACACTTTGACACCCAACATATCGTGTCAAGAAAACGGGACATGGAGCATTGCCGTGTGTTCAGTCATAGGTAACTGTACATTGGTTAAGAAGTTAAAATCAAAAAAATGATTAAATGTTTATGATGATTTAACTAAAATTAAGATAAGTATCAGATTGCACACGCTTGGTTTAAATGGCCGTGGTACTTTACCAATTGGCTTACCGACTTGCGTACATGAATATAATAATTACGCCAGGACAAGATACTTTTTATAACAGGGTGACAAATATGCTTGACCTCGGCGGGATGTATCCTCTACAGCAGAAAATATCCCCACCACGGCAGAAATTATCCCTCGATCATGGAAGATATTTCGTCAGTATCATTCATCATATTGCATAAATTTTCTCCAAATATGATTAACGAATCCACTGAAACAAAACACTTTCCTTGACTCTTACCAATTTAGTGTGAAGTGTGTCTTATTTTCCTTTTTGTTTAGTTAATTTGCCTGTGCAATTCATTAAAATCATATAAGTTGGAAATAGATCATATAAAGAGAGAGGAAGAATGTGCACAAAGTAGAGGAGACGATTACAGGGCTTGATTATGGGTGCATGCGCTTGAAGACAATTCTCGTGTAATAAAAACATTCTGAAAAACCGATCGGAATAAACTTTAATTTAAGGCTATTTCTAGTATTTTCAGCCGTTTATATTTATTATAAAAGAAAGAAAGGTTCGTCACCCTGTATATTTTTACAATTCAAATAGACTAAAAATGAATCTTTAGGTTTATGTTCGAATTTATCAACTAACCGCTAATTACAGTCGTATCTATTAAAATATTTTCCCACACATTATGATAATGATAATCAATTAAAATGTAACATAAAATATCACAAAACGTTTATTATCACATTTCTATAAAATTTATAGATTGTGGACCTCCAGCAGCACATATTTCATTTGGCAAAATTACCCTTCCAAATAACAGTTCAACAACCGTTGGAGCATCTGCCTCTGTTACTTGTGTAGATAGATATACACCAAGCAAGCAAACAATAGTTTGCAACGCATCTGGTGTCTGGGAACAGGTGTCATGTAATTTTTCAGGTATGGTATGGTTAAAGTTATACATATGTAAGATTATGTTAATGTTGATAATCCTCAAGTGTGTGCTTTTATCTAAAACAGTCTGTGCAACGTATCTTTATTTTGTTTTTAGTTTAAGGATGAATAGAGAAAACATAATTATTGTATTTAATAGCATTTTGGAAATATGACTCCTAATAATGAATCGTATTACATATACATTGTATTTTCGCACATGAACATTCTAGTATTCCAATGAAAACACTTATCTATCATTTTTTTCATATTTGTTACATATAAGTATTGCTATTTTTTCTTGGCTAAATAGATTGTGGGACTTTACCTGAAATACATCATGGAACTATTACGTATAATGGAACGGTTTCGTTCGGATCGACTGCTGAAGTTGAATGTGATGCTGGTTATAAAGCCATTAAAACAACTGTTTTGTGTCAAAGGTCAGGAGACTGGGAGACGGCCGAATGTTTACCTATAGGTGAGATAACTTTGCCGATTAGCTAAGATAAAATCATGTGCAAAGGCATTCTAACCTAAGAGTTTGTTTGTCTTAAGTACGAAATTCAATGAACGCATCCTCCAACAAAAAGCAATATTTACAGGACACACCCGCTCAGTAAATGTCATATGACGGCTTTCTGGCTTTACTGGTGGAGAACGACCTCAAGTGCCCCTCTGTGCATTATCCAGGCACGCACGAGCGGCACCTAAACAAAATCACCGATGTTCCGTAAGCTAGCTGAATAGATTTCGCACGTGAAAAAAAAACAAAAACAAAGTCTTTGGCAGGATTCGAACCAACAAAGGTGAAGGGCAAATGAGTTAAAGTCAATATCCCATCTCAGATTCAAACGTGTGTTACCTTCCGTTAATATATATATATTTCTGTCACAAAAGAATTATAACTGAAGTTGACTTTATCAAACAGTTTTCTATTCACTCAAATGACATAATAAATGATCCTTAATAATAATTGTTTTCAGTTCAATGATAACAATTGCACAGACTTTTATTCTGAAAACAATATTAGAATCAGTCCTACAAGTGTATCACAGTGTATTGTTATTTCATTTACAAACCTAAAAGTTAATGTCATTGCAAATTATATTTTAAGATTGTGGTCACTTGCCGGTAATACAATTTGGCAAGACAATTATAAATGATGTTGGAAACACAACATACGGATCGTCGGCTTCTGTAACATGTGATAGAGGCTATGAAACAAACTTAACAAAGATACTTTGCCTATCATCTGGCGACTGGCAACAACCAATATGCAAAGCCAAAGGTAAATAAAGAAAACCAAGAGGTCTTAGTACTTTCACTTTTGACAAATACTTGTCGTTACACGCTTTGTTATGTGACATTATGTGTAAACATGATACTGGAAGGAAGATTAGATTGATTTAAGAAACCGCCTCCGTGGTCGAGGGGTTAGAGTCGATGACTTCTAATCCAGTTACCTCTCTGGCGTGAGATCGATCCCCGGGAGATGCTTTGGTAGTTTAGCGCGGAGGAAGGTAGTCTAGTACTGGTGTAACTCTCCAGGAACGATGGTTAGGAAACTACCCGCCTATATGACTGAAATACTGTTGGAAAAGGGCGTAAAATGAAACAAGCAAACAAGCAGATTGATTTAAAGATGAAGTGATGACATGTGACAAATGTGCAAATTATACACATGTGCTTGGTCATGCTACGATATATATTAAATCAAAGAAAACAGCTCAATTTCTGCTTTTATAGTATGTATCATTTTTGAACCTAATGAATCTGAGTGTACTTTATTGTGACATGTACGGCACACAAAACCTATCAGTGAAAAGCTAGCACACCATCGAGAGTGGTTTATGCCCTAATATATGGGATACTTTCCTATATGTTAATTCAATTCTTTCAATGCTCATTATGAGTATTATGACATTATGCAAGCGTTGTTTCATTATCATTACTTTTAAATGTCAGATTCATATTAATGGCACATGGGATTGGAATTAAAACACTCTTACCGTTGAAATGAATCTTTGATTCTAGGATTTGCAAGGATTGTAAATACCTGTCTCCCTCTCATGCTGCTTCTTTATTGTTTGTAATTAATAGGTGCATATCTTGCAAAAATAAATATTTGTCCAGAAATGTTTTAATTCTAGGTATCTTCAGTCCAAAAACACTTGCATTCTTTTGGACGTTCTGCAATGTACATATGAATGGTTATGCAGCTGGGTCCATCTTTAAATTCAGCTTACCTACATGAGAGTACTTGTATTTTCTTTTCCATTTTTAACAGACTGTGGACCAGTTGGAACAATACCATTTGGAATCATAAAACTTGCTGATAAATATAACACTACGTTTGGTTCATCAGGTATTTTAACTTGTGATGACGGTTACGAGACATCGACAAAGAACGTAACTTGTGGTGAAGATGGCGTATGGACCACTGCTATATGTTCATTGAAAGGTATTGTTATATCTGTCAATACGACATGATTAAATAAAGATTAAAACGATTGTTTTACACAATGATATTATAAAAATATTTCACACGTTTGGTTTGAAGACGTTTTTGAACAGACTCAAATACATTTTGCACGTTGTAAGTCACAATACAGTTTTGTTGCTATTTTATCGTTGTCGTTTATTTTGATTTTTTTTTCTAGTTGCTCATGATCGTTTATTTCTATTAATATAATTATGAAATAAATGATTAGTCAGTTCAAATGGGATGTTAATATGTGCTACCCTTAGCTCTGTCTTCCAGTCGATAAGCATTTAAGACCTGAACTAAATTCAATTTAAGCTTTAAAGATGTTAAAGTTGTTAACTCATCATATACAAAATAGATAAATACAGAATCCCTAAAGAAAGCCCAACACGGCAAAATTGAAAATGTTGCAGGCTCGGTTTGATTGAGCCTGTTCATGGACGGTACTGGAAAGTGCAAGTTACCGTCCACGCCCCCTAGCACCGGCTTAAGCAGAATTCAACATTTAAACATGAAATAGTAAAATTTTGAATTTTGAAACATCCGCAGATGTTTTCATACGGCGGTTATCATGGAACCTTCAATGTGACACTTCCGTGCCATTCCATGAAAAGCGGCGTATGGTCTCCAAGTAATAAAAAGCATGTGCCCTAAACGAAAAAACAATGGGCGGAACTAAATAAAATGGAATTTTGAAAGGGGATCAGAGGTTATGAAGCCTGCGTATCACAGATAAGACGTCAAAAGACAAATTTAAAAAGCAGGCAACATATCCTAAGGGTGATTCAACATTATTCAAGTAGGAATATTGGAACCACCCAACTAGAAAATGCTGAAAAGTTGAAACTAAAAATACCACAAGCACAAACTCAATCTTAATGATTCTCCAAGTATTATTTATTATTTATCTCCTTTCATCTTTCCTTGTTCTAAGAAACTTTGAACGATTAAATTGTAACAGTGTCATTTCTTTACTAAATAAAGTAATTATGGCTTACTCGCCGTAATAAAAAGATGAGCAATGGTTTTATTTTGTTACCTTACATTGATCAAATCTTGAATATTTGTAACATATGACTTTTTCATTATCTGTGTTAAAGAGCACATTACATTAGGCTGGGTATTTTCCTACACATGCCTATGATTCAAGCTTTACGAATATGTTTAGATCACGGATTTTATATTTATTTACAGTCAGGTAAAACAAATTAAGTTTGTGTTTTTCGATAAAGACAATACGATTATAACAAAAATGTTTCCCATTAATGCTGAATTATAAAATACATTTGTTTTCTTAGATTGTGGGTATCCGCCTAACATTTCATTTGGGGATATTATCCTTCATAACAACAGCATAACAACGGTTGGGGCAACGGCGTCTGTTAAATGTGCGAGTACATATGTACCGAGTAAAACAACCGTAACATGCATGGACACTGGAGAATGGGAACATGCTTCCTGTGATTTCCAAGGTACTAGTTGTCTGTCAGTTATCATTAATATTTTAATGACATATTAAGTAAATTAAATTTTATCTTAAGTTTATATGAAACACCGAAAAAATCAAGATATTGAAAAGAAATCTGGAAACAAAGTGATCCTTCGGAAGCATAAATCACAATAAAATACCATGAAAATTGCAGACTCGGTTTGATTGAGTCTGTACATGAGGGATAATGAATAAGTGCAACATCCCTCTTGCGCCCTAGCACCCACTTGAGCGGTACTCAATTCTCAACACTTAATAGTTCTGATATCAAACCATTAGAAATTTATTGACTAGTCTTTTAATACGTATTTCATTCGTGCTATAAGAATAACCCTACAACTGAATGTTTTGATATACAGGTTGTGACTCTATACCTTACATTACCAATGGTAAAATAACACATACAGGAAGAGCAAATATAGGGTCAACTGCTGAAGTAAGATGTGATGCTGGATATAAAGCTAGTAAATCATTTGTTTCATGTCAGAGGTCAGGCGACTGGGAGATGACCGAATGTTTACTTATAGGTAAATATATTAGTATCATGATAATTAATAATAATTTCAATAATTTTACTTTTAGTAAATGAACATTTCATCTGGACAATGAGTAACATTGCAGTCACCATTTTTAATTCTTGATTCTAACATTATTTTTGATGATCTGTGATAAAAATAGCAGAATATTTTAAATATGCAATAAATGGTTTCAATAAATGTCAAACACATATTACTTTTGTCTTTAAAAATATGTTTTTGTTACATATTTCTAAAGATTGCGGTCACTTGCCGGTAATTCAATTTGGCCAGATAAATATAGATGGCGTTGGAAACACAACATACGGATCGTCTGCTACTGTCCTTTGTGATACAGGCTTTGAAACTAACCAAACAAAACTATTTTGTCAAACATCCGGAGAATGGCAGACATCGATATGCAAACCTAAAGGTATTTGTTATCAGCTTGCCTTCCAAACGATTAACAATAATAATTTGCTTTCAATGTTCGACCATAAGTTATATCTTGATTTTATCTTAAGACTTGTCGCTCACTGCTGTAGATTCGAATCCCGACACGAAAGTTAAAGTCTTTAAATGAGGAAGCTAACCAGATAACGGAACGGCGGTGATTCTACTCAGGTGCCCGTTCGTGCCTGAGATAATGCCTAGAAGGGCATATGGGGTCTTCCTCCACCAGTAAATCTGGAACGTCGCTATATGACCTATGCTTTGCCGGTGAAAACAAAACAAACAAAATCTTAAGCCAAATCCTGCAGAAATTAAAGTGTTTTTATGTTTTACCTGTTTTGAATTTTGAGATGTCCATTCAAGGGTATGTATAAGAATTCAAATATCAGAATTCACAAAAAAAGCCATTAACAGTTAAAAGCTTGGTTGAACTGTACAAATGTTAAGGCTGATCTGACTTATAATTTGGGAAATGCTAATCATTATCAGATCAAGCAGCTTATGTGTTTAGCATTCCATTTACACTTCTAGCATGTATATGGTTTGCAATTGTTCTTGAAATTTTAGAAATATCTCATCAGTAAACCAATACACAATGTATGTCTTTTCAATATTTTTAGGTAAATGGGGACTTCACTTCTTTATTTATTTACTGAAAAAAACTACTTATTTTTTGTACGATTTATATCTTATCACTGATTATCATATAGGGCCATTTATACATTTTATATTCATTCGGTTAAACTTTATTTAACAAAACTAAATCACTTCACTTTTTGTGTGTAAAGATTTGTTGATTACAGACAAATGAAATTTTATAAAGCATACTTCAAAAGTTTAAAGACCAACTCTCCATCAGCTCATACAGTCTGTATATTCATCATATTTACGTTTGTCACCCGTTGATTTAAGGTATATTTTAAATGACTTAAATCTCTTCATCTTACGTTAACATTTGTCAAATGTTATTAATAAAAAGTAGTACATTCATATGAATTTTTTCCAAAATTATATTTGTTTAAGTAAATCTTATACACTCAATAGCAAATAGACCTTTTCTAGACTGTGGATCTATACCAACGATTACTAATGGTAACTTAATTCTGACGGACTCAACCAACACAACATATGGAGCGACAGCAAGTGTCGTATGTGACAGTGGTTATCACACAGATAGGCCAACAATAATATGTCTTGGCAGATGGCAAGCAGCACAATGTAAAGCAAATGGTAACAAATCATATTGCTAACATTTGTCATTGTCTGATTCCTTTCCTTTTTATGCTTTGTCACCTACACCTAATGCATAGACATTTCTAGTTTTCTTAAAAGACGAATGTTTGGAACCAAAATCATTGTAAATGTTTTAAGTGAGTTAAATAAATGAAGTTTATTATAATTATGTGAGATTGTTATAGATGGTACTTGTAATTTATATCCATTCAAAAAGATCAGTTGCCTTTGTCATCTTAAATTTTATTTTAGATTGTGGGCAATTACCTGACGTGCAGTTTGGCAAAATTCATCTTGTAGACGCACATAACACGGCGTTTGGCGCTAGTGCTCGTGTTACGTGTGATAAAGGTTTCGAAAGCAACACTTCAACAATAAAATGTACAAGTTCTGGTGTCTGGGAAACCTCTATCTGCAAAATAAAAGGTATTTTAGCTATATTTGGTCCATATATCTTTTTGAAAGCATGAATTATATGTTATTTTATCATTTTATTTCACTCGCTAGTTTTTTCCTTCTCTGAAGTCATTCATGAATAGCTAAGGCTAAGCTTAAAGAATGTTTTACAAAAAGAATAAGTATAAAGATCCGATATTACTAATTTAATCAAAACAACTTTAGTCATATACAAGATATAAAACAACAACGAAGACCTGCGTAACATTTACCAGGCGAACGTCTCGTGATTCATTGCATTACTGTAATTATTGTGTCCGTTTAAGTTATTGATACTACTTTAATATTTTATTCATTATAACACTGTTACATGTTTATCATCTACCTAATGAGCTTTTTTCCTATAATGTTAGACTGTGGAAGTCCACCTATTATTTCAAACGGAAGAATTCAAATCATTAATCACGAGACTACATACGGATCAAAAGCATTTGTTGAATGTCATAGCAAATATACTTCGAATACTCGATTTGTTAAATGTCTGGCGACTGGACATTGGGGACATGCCAAGTGTTTAGGTAAGGATGACGAGCTTATAGCAGTTGTTTATATTTGTCAAAATTTACTTAAGCACAAATTACTGTACGAACACGTACACAACTTTTAATGTAGGGAAGGTTGTTATTTTCAAAATCTTCAACTATCTTATTAAAAGTAAAGCATAATTTTGATCTCAAAAGCTTTTTATCAGTTTTAATTACGTTCATTTCTGCACACAAATTATTTGTAAAATGTACATAACGTGTTACCTTATAAAATTTATTATACTTAAAAGTGACCATATTATATAGAAAGTCTTTGACATTTATAATTCATCCTAACAGGTCAAAGTAACAAGGACAGATGCACTGAAGAACACGGTATGTCTCGGTTTCTTAGAGTCTTTATTTATTTACTTGTTTTATTTCTGACGTTGTTTTGTTCCTTTTAATTTGTTGTTTTGTTGTTTTGTTGTTGTTGTTGTTGTTTTCTTGTTTAAAAGCAAATATTAAAATCTTTTGATCGTTTACCATATTGCATTGCCGTCATTACCTGGATGCATATACATTGCAAATATTTTCATTTGACAACGAAACACAAGTTTTGGTATATGGCGGTCATCAAGGCTCCGTGATAGTTTTGCGATTTGTTCCCATGCTATTGATAATAATCATTTCATTATTTGAGTTTCTTCAAACATTTGATTAACGTATTGTTTTCTGTTGTTTTTCTTTTTTCTTTTTTTTCCTTTTTTTGAAAAATACTGTTATTGTTTTGTAGGTGTTTGTACACGACATATCTACGAAAATGTTCGACTTCTTGCGCTAAAGAGTTCAAAATGCAAGTCATTTTGTCAATGCATTCACGGTGGAACTTCCGCGGGTGGAATTATTACATACAAATGGGCAGAGCATCAATGTCCACCAGGGACCTTGTTTGATGATAATCTTATATCACGAGTGTGTAACCATCAGTTTATGGTGAATTGCTAACTTGTGTTTTCATTACTTACATGAATACCTCCTGACAGTTGACAATCAATTTAATTGGAAGACATTATCATCACATTATGTAAAATTATATCATTAGTTTTTTATATAAATTAAATGTTAAATATAGGGTCAACATAACACATGTAATTAAATACTTTTCAACATTTACAATAGTTTTTGCATGTTTGTTTGTTTTGTTTTTTTGTTTTTGTTTTATAGACTATAAAGACCTTTACAATGACTTTAAAAAGGTATATCGTACCGTGGCGAGCCGGTATTACGTTAGGATTTTACTGAAAAACAACCTAAAACTCCGAATCCATCCAAAAATGTAATCGAAGCTTGGCTTCCAGCTTTCTACAAAATTTATCTATCAGGGCTAGGATCCAAAATTATTTAGCCAATCAAATTTAATCTTACATAGCGTCAAAAAACCTTCAATTTTCACGCCATTTTTAAAAAAGAGCAAGTATTATTTTGAGCGCAAAGATATAATGATGATTAAAATGTTTGTTTTCATGAATTATTTTCAAAAAATCATATTTACACTGACTTTTGTTTTAGCGATCTCACCTGTTCCTCTGTAGTAAGTTTTCGTTTGGTTAATTAACATAAGTGTACATCTGGTTCTGTGCATTTTTTTCTTTTCCTTTTTTCCGGTCATTTTATCCTTTATCGGTATTTAGTGTATATATTTATTGGCCGGGGTCCGGGAGGCCCGGACTGGCCGGTATCCGGGATCGTATAAGATATAGAGGAAAAACTAATAAACTATATTTGTGTTGATTATTGTCGTAATGAAAGGACATTAAACGTTAAGTTTTTTTTATTGTATGTAATGAACGTTAAATCAATCAAACTTAGGATATAAATATATTTAGAGGTATTTATTAACAAACTTTAAATGCGAAATCCCAATACTTATAATTATATGCCTAATTAATTGGAAAAATCAAAGACTACATTCTTGAATTGGTCAAATTCCGGGATCCCTTTATGTTTTAATGCGATCCCAAGCTTTTCTGAAAACTATATTCTTGAACTGGCCAATTCCTGGGATCTCTTTATATTTTTATACGATCCCGACTTTTCTGAAAACTATATTCTTGAACTGGTCAATTCCCAGGATCCCTATATGTTTTAATAGGATCCCGGCTTATCTGAAAAACATCTTAGACTGGTCAAAATCCGGGATCCCTATATTTTTAATAGGATCCCGGCTTTTCTGACAACTTGTGTTTACTTTAGGACTTGTGTCTGTCACTCATTCCAATACTAAATTACATATATTACAACTTAACTTCGTATAAAGAGACATCTTTATGAATTCTACCTATCTAAGATTTATTTGGTCAAGGTCAACAGGCCATACAGTAAATGTGCATAGACATAGGGACTTCATTCTATCTGTTTACATGCATCTTCATATATACTCATATTCCTCTTTGTTAAACTTAGAGAACTGGCTTCCATAACTTTATTTCACTTTTATTTTGATATTCGCTGAAGTCTCTTCAGCTAACAGAACTATCATTTTTACATTTAAACGCACCCCTGGAAAAAAAATTACGAAGCAAGTCGCTACTAGCTTTTTTAAAAGCTAACCTTGTAATGATTTACTACGCAATAGTTTAATAAATAATTGGTCTTAAAATTACTATCCAAAGATAATGTTGAGACTGAAAAAATCACTTTGTTAACTTTAACATCCTTAACCTCATACCTCATCATTTTCATATTTTAATTACATACTCGTTTCCGTCTTCAATACAAAACATATTGATATGTGTACATAAGTTTCATATGTGAGGTTATGACGCTGATGGTAAAAAAGGCAAGAATAAAGCTCAGCAAGGTTAAAGCAACGTTCACAGGACAGCTGTCCCCCGACACACCAAAGAAGTGCACCCAGAACGCACCCAACAATAACCTGGAGTGGACATAAGCGCGGCGAAAGGAGAGGGACATGTTATGTGTGAAATAATATAAACTAAAACGAGCCCATGTTGGAGTTAAAGGAATAAGGGCTGTAAGGATGAAGGGGCGGGGAGGGTAAAAAAATGGGAGGGGATGAGAATATACCTACCGTAAACGACAATCTAACAAGACAGACATTACAAAACATGTAAACATTTAAAAACAAGTAACAATACAGACATGAAAAACACGTGAAGGAACACCGACGGGTACCGCCTTGGATCGGTCAGTCGTAGTTAAAACACTGGGGAACTTGTTTTAGGAGATCCATTTTAAAAAGGCAATTGGATCAAAAAGAAGAAAAGCAATCATATGTTTCTTAAACTGAAAGTTAATATTGAGTTAATTCCCTTGATTTGCATAATCTTATCTCATTCAAAATATATCACCGATTACCCATAATCGTATTCGAAACAACAGGGATTCAGATTTAAAGGATGTTTATTGAACATGCAGAGGAAACTATATTTTATATTCGTTTATATTAATATGATTATAATATAGATAAAAGTTAAGGAAACGTCATTATTTATGTCATTTTTGGCCGGCTTGCACAGGTGCAAACCCGGGTGATAGTATGGTTAATGTCGGGTGGCGGGCGGACGGGGAAATATTTTCGTAAGAGTTTTCTCAGCAACTACTTATCACAACCTTTTGATATTTGGCATACAACATTGACATGTGGTCCATACCGTGGGATTCGATTCTGTCGCTCATCCAATTCCTGTTTACCAACTTAGTTTATTTTTGACATAAATGGTCAATGAAAGGAAATTTTAGTAACAGTTTTCTCAGTAGCAACTTCTCACAGCCTCTTGATTCTTTGCATACAGCATTGACACATATTTTCGTAACAGTTTTTCTAGTAACTACTTATCACAGCTTCTTGATATTTGGCATACAACATTGACACGTGATCCCATGCTGTGGGATTCGATTTCAGGTCTGTCGCTCAACCACTTCCTGTTAACCTACTTAGTTCATTTTTGACTTTAATGGTCAATGGTAGGAATTTTTCGTAACAGTTTTCTCAGTAACTACTTTTCTCAGCCTCTTGATATTTGGCATAAAGCATCGACACGTGGTTCCATACCGTGGGATTCGATTTCAGGTCTGTGGCTGATCCACTTCCTGGTTCCCACTTAGTTAAATTTTCGACATAAGTGGTCAATGAAATTTTCGTAACAGTTTTCTCAGTAACTACTTATCACAGCCTCTTGACATTTGGCATACATCATTGACACGTGATCCCATACCGTTGGATTCGATTTCAGGTCTGTCGCTCATCCACTTCTTGGTTACCGACTTAGATAAATTTTCTACATTAATGGTCAATAGTAGGAAATTTTCGTAACAGTTTTCTCAGCAACTACTCAGCCTCTTGATATTACAACCAATACCGTTGGATTTGATTTCAGGTGTGTCGGTCATCCACTTCCCGTTTATGGACTTAGTTAAATGTTCGACATTAATGGTAAATGGTAAAAAGTTTAACATAACATCACAGCCTCATGATATTTGGTATACAAATTCAATCCGGTCTCGTCTGTCTTTGACCTATTTTTATGCTGTTTTGTGTTACATTAGCATAAATAATAATCTTTATTTTCAACTATATTCCGTTATTAATAATACACAAGATTTGTATCGTTTAATACAAAAGAAAATAATTTTAATGTATATGTATGCAGTATTAAAGTGATCATATTTACCCGCAGCAATACGATTTATTGCCCTTAAATCATGAATGCGCAATTTGCCTTTGAACGTAGCTGTCACCCAGTAAAAAGTTATACATTATAAAAAGGGAGTGTCTCCACTTTAATCAACCGTCTTTTCTTAAATGTTTTCAAAAAAAGTATTTTTGAAAAAAATAGAGGATATTGTTTTGTTTTGAGTTTTTATTATTTATTAAAGTAATTTAGCATTGAATTTTGTCGTATTGCGATTGTGTATCTGAGGCACTTGCAATTTATTGTTTTGCACTTCTTAGTATAATGCAAAACCGTACAATAATTTACAATGTTGCTATATATGTGGCACTTAACTTAAAATTGTGCACCCATTTATGGGGGAATTTAGATTTGCCCTTGTGTTTTTGTTTTAAATAGAACATGATTTATTTATTTTGAAGTATTCATAATAATTTAATATTTTATTTATTTTCAAGTCGCCAAAATATGATCGAAAGTAAACACGCAACCATAGATTTACAACACTTGTTGAACACCAACCAGATAAAAAATGACGATTATTTATAATTATGTTTTGTTTAAAGAACTTAAGTGGTTTCTTAAATTTACAACATTTTATACTCTATTTTGCTCTTGTTACATTTGTGTTCTATTACCTCCATTACCAAGGTTCGGGCGCGTGCGTTGCTAAAACAAGACATAATATATTAGGCCGTATACCGCCGCCTTATATTTTCGTGGTACTTAACTGTTTAACAAGCACAATAAACGTAAGGAGAATAAAGTTCTGGAAAATGCCATAAATATTGTAGGAAAGACATGTCAATTACGCTATTTACGTTTATTCCGTTTAATGTTTTCAACGGGCAGTCATGTACACTGCATGGTGGCACACACATTACTGCCGCCCAGTGACTTAAAGTTGTTTAACCATATTTCCACGACAATTTCGTTAAATTAACAGTTTTAAAAGAGGAAACAATAGGTACCCTTATTTATCAATACTTCTTAACCTAGTCTCGTCTACAGGTAAGGAATTCCTCCATGACATTTAAGAAATTTATCAAATATTTCAACAGTTGTTTAACTAAGAAAATTTCTTAAAATGTATGAAATGTAATAATAAAATGGTGGAATAATACATTTTGTTTTTCATCTGAGTAAAATAATATGCTTTCGCAGTCGCAGATGGAACATATTAATGAATATACGCTAAAATAGTAAAAGTAAAACCCCTGCCAGGTGTGTGAAGTCTAGGAGGCACTCGGGACTGTTTATGCCGAATACCTTGGAATTGTTGGTAACACGGAGACATAAGGCACTGATATATACAGGCGGAGTGACTTTTGGAGAAACATTAAGACTATCCAGAAACATATTTTACTTTAGCTCTCGTTTTATTTGTATTAAATAATTTATTCACCATTTTCAAAATATACGTTATATGTAAAAATAATTTGTTTTTTCATTAAAATACTAAATTGA